GACTCTATTAGCAAAGGAAGAGCGAGTGTGCTTTCCTTGCTGACAAGAATGACAGTTTAAAGACTTAAGATTGGATAAAAAATGAACCATATGCTGAAGCTTGGAGAGGCTTGGATGACCCAGACGGCTGTGAATTAGCTCAGGCAACTCTGTGAGTGAACAGGCTACTGGAGAAGGTGGTGCAATCAGATAGTAGAGACCTCGTGACTCAATGCCCGCTCCAATCGTCTTCCCCGTACCCGAATCCTGCATAGAAAAGGATTATTTAGAGAAGGTAACAGTACATGAAAGAGAATGAATCAACTGGTTAACAGAGATTAAATTAAAAGGAATGTCAGGTATATAATAAACAGAACTCAGAGTTAAAAGGGGAGTTGGGTTGGCTTCTCCAATTCCACGAGCAAGAGCTTTAGTGCCATCAGCAAGAGTGACAGAGGGTAGGTTATTAGAATAAGAAAGTGAAGTGAAGAGATCTTTATTACCACAAAGATGATGAGTAGCACCTGAGTCTATTATCCAGGGTCCAAGAGATGATTGATAAAAACAAGCAACATGATTACCAGTGTCTTGAGTAGGATGCTGAGAAGAAACCTTCTTGAGAAGTGCCTCACAGTCGGCACTTGAAAGAGTTACTAATCCAGTAGAAGGTGGTGTAGCATCAGTTTGAGCAAAGTTGGCAGTCGGTGGCTTCAAATGAGGGTACTTCCTATAGCAACGTTCTTCAAAATGCCCAAGATTCTGGCAATAATTGCAACGAGGCCTCTGTCTGCGGCCACGTCCGCGACCGCGTCTACTGTTCCAATTGGAATCACTGGCCCGAGAAAAGAATGGAGATGGGGTAGTACTGGAGATGATGCCAGTTATGTTTTTGGATGCATTACTTGAGCCCTCCATCACAAAATCAAATAAAGGAGATGGGGTAGTACTGGAGAGGAAGGCGAGCTGTTCTGTTTTTTTTTTTTTTTTTTGCGTGAACAGTAAAATTGTACGGACGTGTGAACAGTACCACCGTACAGACTCGTGAACAGTACCGCCGTACGGACGATGTGAACAGTAGATCGTACGCCCCGATGAACAGTGAATCTATACGGACTGTACGGACGCAGTGAACAGTAACTTTTTTTTTTTTTTGTAGAACCAAGCCGGAGGGACGCACGGCGTTAGAAGTAGGAGAGAACGCCTAAGCAGTGGGCTTAGGGTTTTAGCGGAAGCGAAAAATTCCCAAAACAAAGAGCTCTGATACAAATAATATGTTGTGTATTGATCTAATTCAGAGAGTTACAATATATAGACACTCTAATGGGCTTATAGGAAAGGCCCAGACCTAATACAATCAAAATATAATCAGAATAATTACAGACTAATCATATCTAATCATATCTAATCAGACTAATCATATGTAATCATATCTAACAACCTAGACTGAGTTCTAGAAGGCATGCTTTGATTGTATACATCGTCTGCCTGAAACATGGAGACTCATAGGTACACTGTTGGGCTTCTCCTGAAAGAGCACAGGGCTAGGGTGATAAGCTGAAGGAATTCGTCAAATCTCTGTGAGAGATTAGGTTATCTGTAAACCGTAGAAATCGGGATGACATTTACAAGGACTCGAGAATCTATGCATAGTAAAACAGATCATGAGATGATCTGCCTTTAGAGTCAGTAAATTGAAGATTCCCTATTTCGAATAAAGCTTACCCTAAATCGCAAGGGTTGATACGTTTCCTTACCCTAGGTTTAATGGGAAGGTAACGAGACGAAAGGAAATACATACAGCAACCAAATATGTGTAATAGTATGATTAAGTCATTAATCTAACTAGTTCTGGGGAAACAAAGCATTGCTAGTGCTCTGTGTTGTCATTAAATGGGTTGTGGGCTTGTTGGGCCGGAGCCCATTTATGTCAGTGGCTATGTTGGACCTAATGGGTCACACACTAACACCTTATTGTCATGATGATCTAGAATTAAAGGTATTGGGCATAATAATAGTTGTTAGCCCAAGAAGAAGTTTGGAAGCCCACCTCAAAGGGAAAAGGGCGCATGGATCATGTAATGGGCTTGGATGGTCCTAAACATTACTAATTAATTTAATTAGTTAAATTAATTATCAAATATTTAAATTTTGAATTAGAAATTTGAATTTTGAAATTTGAAATTTGAATTTTGAAATTTGAAATTTGAATTTGAATTTTAAAATTCGAATTTTGAATTTGAAATTTGGTTTTTGAAATTTGAATTTTGAATTTGAATTTTGAAATTTGAATTTTGAATTTAGAATTTAAATTTAGCATTTGAATTTTGAATTTAAATGTTTGAACGTTTGAATTTAAATGTTTGAATTCAAATTTGAATTGGTTATGAAAAGTTGTTTCATAACAAAAGGATAAAGATAAGATCTTGTTGGAACAAATCCCTAGTATCAAGAGGAGATCTTTGATCACATCCAAGGCTGAATTTGGGGCGCCACTTTGGTTGTTGTGAGTGTCATCTTGTCAACCAAATTAGCTCCAAATCAGATTTGGTTTGCTGAGAAAATCAGTGAGCTAGTTGGTTCAAATATGAATGCAACTGCTCAACGTATCTGAACCGTTTCTGGGGCTGAATGGGGCGCACATATGGCTGGCCATATGATGGCCATTAGGTCAGAATTTTGACTAGGATAAGACCTAGTCTCATGAGGACTCAAAGGTAGGTTGTTGGGAATTTTGAATTGCAACAACTCCACCTTTTTCTCCTCTAGTTGTGCACCACTTAGATCAGAATTTTAAGTGAAAAATCTGATTTCAATACTCTGATTCACTCACTCTCTTGGGCGCACACTTTGGGAAGTTCTCCTTAAGGTTTCACAAAATAACCTAGCCTTTTCTAAGAGCATCCATGCCCCACTTTTGTAAAGCTTTCATGCTGAAGACTTCACTCTTCTAAACACCTTTACCTAGCCTCCTCCTTCACACATTGGACGCCTAGCAAGCTTTTGTGGTAATCAATTGGTGGCTTTTCAAGAAGAGTTCTTGCATCTTGACGTGGGGTGGTGTGGATCAACGTTAGAGGGTTTGAACCCTTCAAACCTGACACTGATCTCCTTGGTGTTTGAATCACAAACATAGGTAACATCATGTTGTCTTAAAGCATGAGTCTTGATTGCATGTGTGATTCCGCTTGAGAAAATTTTGTTTTTCCCTCTCACATGCTTCGGCCTTCAAGGCCATTTAACTTTCAACCATCAGGGTTTGAAGGGACATGAGACCCCTCCCCCTTATCTTCAAAAGATACTTCATTAGCACGATTCTTGTTTTGTCCTTTTGGTTTCCAGTTTGGTGGTTTGCCATGAACCCTTATTGCAATGAGAACACCAGCGGTCAGAACGTTTTGAGTCCCCAGAAGGACGAACAGTAATCTTTGCTATAAGGGCAGACCCATCAGAGGACTTAGAGTCCTTATCACCCAACATCACTTTTCAGCGAAGCTCCTCCCTTCGTACCTCAGAAAAAGCAGTAGCAATGGAAGGTAATGGGTTTTGCCCCAAAATCCTTCCACGAAGATCATCCAAATCAAAATTAAGGCCATCAAGAAAATCATAGAGATGCCTTTTCTCTATATAATTTTTGAATATTGCATTAGCTTCTAAACCTTGAAGGTCTGCTTTATCATAAAAGTCCAACTCTTGCCACAATGTTTTTAGAGCAAGGAAGTATTCAGTAACAGTCATTCCTCCTTGGCGTAAATCTTTCACCTTCGTGTTGAGTTCAAAAGCCTGAGAGGCATTGCCCAAGTCAGAGTAATATTCTTTAACAGCTTCCTAAATTTCTTGAGCCGTATCAAGAAATAAATAAGTTTGACTGATATCTGGTTCCATAGAATTAGTCAGCCATGTCATGACCAAAGAATTTTCAGTCACCCATGCATCATAGCCAGGTTCATGTTCTGCTGGTTGTACCTTTTTTCCGTCCAGAAACCCCATCTTCCCTTTAGCCTGGATAAACAACTTAACAGATTGACACCATTGCACATAGTTCCTACCGTTTAAACGATGATTGGTGATCTGCATTGCTGGGTTGTCACCAGAAGACGAAGAGATGGGAAGGGGTGAGGTTCCGGACGAAATTCCAGATGAATTTTCAACATTTTCAATGTCCATGGCTTTCTAACAACAAGTACCCAGAAAAAAAGTTCCTCCAAATACGATTTTGACCCTCAAAATAGGAAGAGGGGAGGCAGACGATCAGAACAGGGTATGACTCGCCGGAAAAAAATGATGGGAGGGCAGCGCGTGGATCACACGCACCGGCGAGGCTGAAGGATGGTGGTGGCGCGTGGCGGCGCGTGGAGGGGTTTCCGGCGACGGGTCTTTTGTTGGCAGGCTCGGAATTTTGTTCTGAACCTAATGGTGGCCTTGGTTTCGTGGTTGGAGGTGTCTAGGTAAGGATTCTGGCCTTGGCAGAGGCAAAAAACGAAAAAGGAAAAGAAAGAAGACTTAAAAAGAAATTAGAACGGGGAAGAGACTGGAATATAACCAGCTCTTGATACCATGATGAAAAGTATAAGTGTTTTTCTAAATAACACAATTTTCTTAATTCATTGAGAGACCCAATAGGTCTTTTTTATATTGAGTACAAAGAGCTATACAAATAAATAGCAACAGTAACCTAAGAGACTTATTTACAATATCAAGAGACACTAATAAATAAGGGAACAAATAGCAAGAAAGCAATAGATGATAAATGATAATCTAGAATATTCTACAAGGGAGAATTAAATAAAGAGAAAAGCTACTATCACAACCTTTTCACTACTACACCCACACACAATGTTTGGTCTATGAGGACCATATCTGTAAACAACAAAATAAAAATTATTCTATTGTCAACTAGAAAGCCCATCATACTGTAACCTACAACCCAATTTTACAACAGTTATGTATTAGGAGTTATACTTTGGAATTTAACGAAGCTACATTACAAAGTGAAAAGCTAATTTGTCCTTTTGATGGTATACCTGAAGATTGCCAACATGAGGTCGGAGTATTGGTCCCTTTCATGAATTTCATCCTGAAAAACAAATTAAGGTCATCTCAGTTTGAAATTTATACTTGCTAAGGTAAGGAAGCACAGCATATACACCAAGTATGGCATGATTCTTGAAGGCAGTATAGATGAATACAATGTGACAACCAAATTCACTTCACAGAATCAACAACATCAACATCAACAACACCTTTATCCCAAATTAATTGGGGTCGGTGGTAGATGAACCCACATGAAAGATACAAAACGGTTGAAAAAAAAAAGTAAAAAAAAAAAAACGAAAAATAAATAAATAAATAAAAATAAAAAAATAAAATAAAAATAAAATAAAAATAAAATAAAATAAAATAAAAATATATGTATATGTAAACAAATAAAAGTAAAAAAGAAAGGGACAAGAAGAAGTGGGGCAAATGAAGGGGAAAAGGACTAAAAAGAGACCATCTGGAACATAGGAATAACAGCGGGTCTAACCCTCCACCATACTTATAGCTTTTCTCCATTCCGTTCTAAGACATACTGTCCGCCAATCTATATCTCACTCCATTAAATCTTGTTTTACTACCTTTCCCCAAGTAAGCTTCGGCCTACCTCTGCCTCTTTTTGTGTTTAGCTCTTGGTAACAAACTTCTGTTCTTACAGGAGCATCCATGGGTCTTCTCATCACGTGCCCAAACCACCTCAATCTATGTTCTCTCATCTTCTTGGCTACCGGTACTACTCCGACCTTTCGTCGAATATCTTCATTTCTTATCTTATCCATCCTTGTGTAACCACACATCCTCATCTCTGCTACTCCCATCTTATGCTCATGTTGCCTATGTGCTGGCCAGCATTCCGCTCCATATAGCATTGCCGGTCTTACTGCCGTTTTATAGCATTTTCCTTTTAACTTCAGGGGGATTTTGCGGTCACACAAAAATGAAGATGCACTGCGCCATTTCATCCACCCTGCTCTGATTCTGTGATTTACATCCTCATCAATCTCTCCACCTTTTTGTAAAATGGAGCCCAAGTATTTAAAAGCATCTTTTTTGGGTACCTCTTGACCATTTAGATGCACGGGCTCTTGGTCCCCATCTCGTACCAGAGAAAACTCACACTTCAGATACTCAGTCTTGCTTCGACTTAATGTGAATCCTTTGGATTCCAATGTGCTTCTCCACAATTCAAGTTTTCTATTAACACCCTCCTTGCTCTCATCAATAAGCACAATATCGTCTGCAAAAAGCATACACCATGGCAGTTCCTCTTGAATATCTTTTGAGGAAGTGCCAGGGTGTATGCTTTTTGCAGACGATATTGTGCTTATTGATGAGAGCAAGGAGGGTGTTAATAGAAAACTTGAATTATGGAGAAGCACATTGGAATCCAAAGGATTCACATTAAGTCGAAGCAAGACTGAGTATCTGAAGTGTGAGTTTTCTCTGGTACGAGATGGGGACCAAGAGCCCGTGCATCTAAATGGTCAAGAGGTACCCAAAAAAGATGCTTTTAAATACTTGGGCTCCATTTTACAAAAAGGTGGAGAGATTGATGAGGATGTAAATCACAGAATCAGAGCAGGGTGGATGAAATGGCGCAGTGCATCTGCATTTTTGTGTGATCGCAAAATCCCCCTGAAGTTAAAAGGAAAATTCTATAAAACGACAGTCCCAAGCCAGGATAAAGGAGGAGGGTTTGCGTCAGGTGTTGCAAACCGGCCGTAAAAAACAGCTATATTTTTATGTGATAAACCTATATGACTTCACAGAATAAGGAAGAATAATAACAAAATTTTCAAATTACATTTCTATTCCTTGTATTACTACAATAATCATAGATATACAATGTACATTCATTACATGGAACCCATCATATTATGTTATATTTTTTTGTTTAACTGTTCATTTGTAGCAAGCTAATGGGAGTACGTTATGTCTTCAGGGCAAGTGCTAGAATATTAGGATTCATGGCCTTTTAGAAGTATTATTATGTTATTAGTCTTGTAGTGTTGGGCTTGTTCTAGTAGTTACTTGACCTAGAATATTACTATCAACATCAACAACACCTTTATCCCAAATTAATTGGGGTCGGTGGTAGATGAACCCACATGAAAGATACAAAACGGTTGAAAAAAAGTAAAAAAGCAAAAAAAAATAAAAATAAAAATAAAAATAAAAAAATAAAATAAAATAATAAAATAAAATAATAAAATAAAATAAAATAAAATAAAATAAAAATATATGTATATATAAATAAATAAAAGTAAAAAAGAAAGGGACAAGAAGAAGTGGGGCAAATGAAGGGGAAAAGGACTAAAAAGGGACCATCTGGAACATAAGAATAACAGCGGGTCTAACCCTCCACCATACTTATAGCTTTTCTCCATTCCGTTCTAAGACATACTGTCCGCCAATCTATATCTCACTCCATTAAATCTTGTTTTACTACTTTCCCCTAAGTAAGCTTCCGCCTACCTCTGCCTCTTTTTGTGTTTAGCTCTTGGTAACAAACTTCTGTTCTTACAGGAGCATCCATGGGTCTTCTCATCACGTGCTCAAGCCACCTCAATCTATGTTCTCTCATCTTCTCGGCTACCGGTACTATTCCGACCTTTCGTCGAATATCTTCATTTCTTATCTTATCCATCCTTGTGTAACCACACATCCACCTTAACATCCTCATCTCTGCTACTCCCATCTTATGCTTATGTTGCCTATGTGCTGGCCAGCATTCCGCTCCATATAGCATTGCCGGTCTTACTGCCGTTTTATAGAATTTTCCTTTTAACTTCAGGGGGATTTTGCGGTCACACAAAAATGCAGATGCACTGCGCCATTTCATCCACCCTGCTCTGATTCTGTGATTTACATCCTCATCAATCTCTCCACCGTTTTGTAAAATGGAGCCCAAGTATTTAAAAGCATCTTTTTTGGGTACCTCTTGACCATTTAGATGCATAGGTTCTTGGTCCTCATCTCGTACCAGAGAAAACTCACACTTCAGATACTCAGTCTTGCTTCGACTTAATGTGAATCATCTGGATTCCAATGTGCTTCTCCACAATTCAAGTTTTCTATTAACACCCTCCTTGCTCTCATCAATAAGCACAATATCGTCTGCAAAAAGCATACACCATGGCACTTCCTCTTGAATATCTTTTGTTAGTTCATCCATAACTAAGGCAAAGAGGTAAGGACTTAGAGTCGACCCTTGGTGTACACCTACCGTGATAGGAAAATAACTTGATGATCCGTTACAAGCTTTTACACATGTAGTAGACCCATCATACATATCCTTGATTGCCTTTACATACTTTAATGGAACTTTTTTCTTCTCCAGGACCCACCATAAAACTTTCCTTGGAACCCTATCGTATGCTTTCTCAAGGTTTATGAACACCATATGCAAGTCCTTCTTCTTTTCTCGATATCTTTCCAATAGTTGTCGCATCAAGAAAATGGCTTCCATGGTACATCTTCCTGGCATAAATCCAAATTGATTTACAGAAACCTTGGTATCTCTCCTCAAGCGATGTTCAATAACTCTCTCCCACAACTTCATAGTATGGCTCATTAGCTTAATGCCTCTATAGTTTGAACAATTCTGTATATCTCCCTTGTTTTTGTAGATAGGCACAATCATACTTTTCCTCCATACATCAGGCATCTTATTCGTTTGGAGAATCTTATTAAAAAGATTGGTCAACCATTTTATTGCCACATCCCTCAGGCCTCTCCACACTTCAATAAGGACACCATCAGGCCCCAAGGCTTTATTAGTCTTCATCCTCTTTAAAGCCTCCTTAACTTCATGTGTATTAATTCTGCGTACAAATCTTCTATTCATATCATCATACGCGTCCTCTAAGTCCACCTCGCTTGTATCTCCATCCCCATTAAACAGTTTGTTGAAGTATTTCAACCATCTTTCATTTACATCTTCATCTCTCACCAGAAGTTTTTGATTTTCATCCGTGATGCATCTAACTTGGGTGAGGTCTTTACTTTTCTTATCCCTTATCTTTGCAAGTTTATAAATACCTCTTTCACCATCCTTGCTCCCAAGATTTTTATACAACTCGTCGAAAACCTTGCCTCTAGCTTCTCGCACTGCTTTCTTTGCATTTTTTCTCGCCAATCTAAACTTTTGCAGGTTCTCTTCACTGGGACTTTTATGCAGAGATCTAAAGCACTCCTTCTTATGTTTAATTGCCTCTTGCACCTCTCCATTCCACCACCATGTTTCCTTTGTATGAAATCCATTTCCTTTGCTTTCTCCCAACACCCTCCTTCCCAAATTTTGAATACACTTAGCCATCTCATTCCATATTGCATTTACTCCTCCATCAAACTCCCAAGGTCCTTCGTGCAACATTCTATCATTGAACTCTCTCTCTTTTCCCTCCTTAAGCTTCAACCACCTTATCCTTAGATTCTGAGCCCTCTTCTTCATTGTACGTACTTTGTTGAACCGAACATCCAAGACTACCAGCTTATGTTGCGTAGCGACACACTCTCCAGGGTAGACCTTACATTCGACACAAGAAGTTCTATCTTCTCTTCTAGCCAGAAAGAAATCAATCTGACTACGATTATGGCCACTATGATAAGTGATTAGGTGTGACTCCCTTTTTTGAAAAAAGGTGTTCACTAACATCAAATCGTAGGCTAGTGCAACATTCAAGATATCTTCTCCAGTCTCGTTTCTCGTCCCATAGCCAAAACCTCCATGGATTCTATCAAAACCTCCATTGCTTTTACCAACATGACCATTTAGATCTCCTCCTACGAAAATCTTCTCCAAGTCTTCCCAAAATTGGCTTTTATCAGTTGGTTGCAATCCAATTTGGGGTGCATACACACTGAGGATATTCAGGATTACGTCACCCACAACAAGCTTAACCAGAATAATCCTGTCGCCTTTCCTTTTGACGTCCACAACTTTATCTCTGAAACTTTTATCGATCATAATTCCAACACCATTTCGACTCTTGTTCGTACCTGTGTACCATAACTTGAAACCAGTTCCATCCACTTCCTTGGCCTTTTCTCCAGCCCACTTAGTTTCTTGCAAACAAACAATATTCACTTTCCTTCTAGCAAAAACATCTGCCAACTCCCTCAATTTACCCGTTAAGGTTCCTATGTTCCAGCTTCCCAATCTCATCCTTAACCCCTGGGCTGTGCTTGCCCACTACGCTCGCCCATCTGCGTGTTGGGACCCTGGCATACTTCTCACCAAATCCGGGTGAAGACCTGGCGCCTTGCCTTGGGGCAAGGACCCTAGCCCACTTTTCACTACACCTAGAATATTACTATAAAAAGGAATATTATGGCATGTTTGGTAAATATTATTTTGGGGAAATAATCACCTTTTTTATTAAGAAAAGCACTCTCAGATAGGTTTTGATTGAAAGATATTTCGGCCCCAAAATAATTTAATACAAGCACGCACTTAATTAGGTCTTACACAAGAAGTCATATTTATCCATTACTATTCTGGGCCAATAGTGGATGAATCCATTTAAAAGCAAGAACAAACTAAGTAAAAATAAATGTAAATAAAAAAAGGAATATATAAATACATGCATATACACCCCCCCCCCCCCCACCAAAAAAATATATAAATAAATAAAAATAAAAAATAAAAACAAATTTGAAAAACCAAAATCAATCAACTAATGCATTGAAAAATATATTCATACTCAATAACCAAATGTTTGTGGCGATCCCCATAACTAAAAATCAACAAACAAGGAATACAAGCAGCAAGAACATGTAGTATTTACCAAAGATTACGCATCACAATTTATGCTCTAGTTCACGATTAAAAAAATAAATTAAATGAAGTACCATAATTATGTGAGTAATGCCAGAAAACTCTTCCTTCACAGACAGTGTCTTTGACCAACAAGAACCTTTAGAAGCCAACACCTTCAACAGAACACTAGTGGTGCACACTATGATTGATGATTGCCTTCCACCTCTGCTTTCTAACCATATCTGGAATTTTTATTAAAATATAAGCCATATATTTTATAAAAATAAAAAAAATAAAAACAGAGAGTATATGAGGTGTGAAGTGTAAACCATGAGAAATGCTAGCAAGCTGGATTAAGAAAGAAGGCAACCAGTGTGAGTGAAGGCATTTTCATATTCAACAGTAGAAAATGAATTTTTAAGGACAGAAAGGCCAGAAGTTCTATAAAAAAAATAATAATTGGCATTCTTAAAAGAAAGAACAAGATAAGTGGTAAGAGAAAAAACATTTTGAACCACTTGAATATAAAATAATATGTTGTGTATTGATCTGTGTCAGAGAGTTACAATATATAGAGACCCTAATGGGCTTAAGTGAAAGGCCCAAACCTTAATCCTAATACAGTCAGAATACAGTCAGAATATTTACGGATAAGACGGAATCCAATCATATCTAATCATATCATATCTAATATTCTAACACTCCCCCTCAAGCTGGTGCGTATATATTATGAGCACCAAGCTTGTTACAAATGTATTCAACCCGAGGACCTCTAAGAGCTTTAGTGAAAACATCCGCTAGTTGATCAGAGGAGTTGACGAAAGCAGTCTTGATTTCTCCTGACTGAATCTTTTCTCGAATGAAGTGACAATCAATCTCTATATGTTTGGTCCTCTCATGAAAGACAGGATTAAAGGATATATGTAGCGCAACTTGATTATCACAGATGAGTGTCATGGGTTGTTTCAGTTCACAAAGATGAAGCTCCTGAATCAACTGCTTTAACCAGACTAACTCACAGGTAGCATTTGTCATTGCACGATACTCAGCTTCTGCACTAGATCGAGCAACATAGACTAACAAATAGATACACTTATCAGAAGATGTAATCCTATAAAACACAGAATGGTCAACTTTACTGCGGATTAAGCCAAACGCCTGAACAGCAGAACTGAAGCGACTGAACCATGCTCGAGGAGACTGCTTGAGACCATATAAGGATTTCCGAAGACGACACACCTTTCCAGACTCCCCCTGAGCAACAAAACCAGGTGGTTGCTCCATGTAAACTTCTTGTAAATCACCATGAAGAAAGGCATTTTTGATGTCAAGTTGAAGGAGTGGCCAGTGACGAACAGCAGCAAGGGCAAGAAAGAGGCGGACTGACGCCATCTTAGCGACCGGAGAAAATGTATCGCTATAATCAAGGCCAAAGATTTGAGTAAAACCCTTGGCAACTAAACGTGCCTTGAGACGATCAATATGGCTATCAGGTTCAACTTTCACAGTAAAAACCCAGCGACAATCAACTATAGACTTCTTTGGAGGAGCAGAAACAAGGTCCCAAGTGCCATTGGAATGAAGTGCAGTCATCTCATCAAGCATTGCTTGGCGCCACCCTGGATGGGAAAGTGCTTCACTTGTGGTCTTAGGAATAGAAATAGAAGAAAGACTAGAAACAAAGGTGAAATGAGGTGAAGAAAGACGGTCATAACTCAAAAAGGTATAAAGAGGATAAGGGTTATGAGTAGTACGGGTACCTTTACTTTGAGCAATGGGAAGAGTCTCTGATGAAGGATCCGGAGGGGAAGAAGCAACAACAGTGGGCGATGAGTCAGCAAGAGTCGAGTCGACAGGAGGCACAGTTTTGCGACGCTGATAGGTGAGAAGCGGACGGTCCTCAGGAATAGAAGCAATAGGTTGCTCATCTGGAATAGAAGCACCTGCAGCTGGCAAAGACAAGTCAAGAAAAGGGACAGGAAGTACATGATCAACCTATGACATCTGAGATGGGATAGAATTAAAGGGTTGTTGATCACGAAAAGTGACATCAGCGGAAACTAAGTAACGCTTAAGGTCGGGAGAATAACAACGATAACCCTTTTGAAGACGAGAATAACCAAGAAAGATACACTGAAACGCTTTGGATGTTAACTTATCCTTACCAGGAGTGAGATCATGAACAAAACAAGTACAACCAAAGACATGTGGAGTTAGAGGATAAAGAGGAACATCTGGAAGCAATAGATTATGAGGAATGTCATTGTGGAGCACAGATGAAGGCATGCGATTGATGAGAAAACAAGATATGAGTACAGCATCTGCCCAGAAGTGAAGGGGAACCTGCATATGAATAAGAAGGGTACGGGCAGTTTCAATGAGATGTCTGTTTTTACGTTCAGCCACCCCATTTTGTTGTGGAGTGTGAGGACAAGTAGTTTGATGTAAAGTACCTTGTGTGGCCAAGAAATTAGAAAAATCAATAGAAACATATTCCTTAGCATTATCACTACGTAGAATACGAATAGAAACACCAAATTGAGTATGGATCTCAGTAGAAAACTTTTTATAAATGGAAAATAACTCGGAACGATTTTTTATTAAATAGGTCCAAGTGCAACGGGAAAAATCATCAATAAAGGTAACGAAATACCGAAAACCTAAGACAGACAAGGTACGACTTGGACCCCAGATATCTGAATGAACAAGAGAGAAAGGGGCATCAGCTCGTTTATTGACTAGACTGGCAAAAGACGAGCGTGTATGCTTCCCTTGTTGACATGACACACAATCTAAAGACTGAAGACCGGACAAAAGAGGAACCATTTTCTGCAACTTTGAAAGACTTGGATGACCAAGGCGACTGTGGATAAGTTGTGGAGATTCTGTGAAAGAGCATGCTACTGAAGGACGAGGCACATCCAGATAATAAAGCCCCCGTGACTCACGACCCACTCCAATCATTTTCCCCGTACCCGGATCCTGCACAGAAACAGAATGGTTAGAGAAAGTAATGGTGCAAGTGAGGGAGTGGATCAACTTACTAATAGAAATTAAGTTATAAGGGATGCCAGGAATGTAATAGACAGATGTCAGGGCCAAGGTAGAGGTCGGACGAGCTTGTCCAATCCCACGAACTGGGGCTTTGGTTCCATCCGCAAGGGTAAAAGACGGTAAATGATCAGAATAAGTAAGAGATGTAAAGAGTTCCTTATTACCACAGAGATGATCGGTAGCACCGGAGTCAAATATCCAAGTGCCAAGTGATGTAGAATGAGAAACACAAGCAACGGGATTACCAGTATAAGGCTGAGACAGAGGAGAAGCCTTCCTGAAAGGGGTTTGGAGTGCAGCATAGTCCGAACCTGAACCAAATGATGCATTGTCTGACTGAGCTATATTTGCAACAATAGAAGGAGAGTTAACCTCCGAGAGATCAGGAGATGCTGCTGCCATTTAAAGATAAAATATAAAAGCCGTAAACGAAGGCAAACGATATCCAATCAAGAAGAACCACGCGTCTAAGGTCAGACCCACAGAGAAACAATCACAGATCCAGAAAGGGGAGGAGAAGGCGAGCTTCTCTGTCCAAGACCGGCCGGAAAAAGCCGCCGGAATAGTGCTCACGCGCCGGCAGAAGGTGGCGCGTGAAGCCCACGCGCAGAGAAGACAAGTGGCGCGTGACGGCGCGTGGGAGATGCGTTGCTGACCGGAACACCACAGACCTGGTCGCCGGGAAGAGAGTCCTGATCGCGTGAAGTTTGGTCGGAAAAGTCGCCAGAAAAAGTCTCTGGTTGCCTGAACAGTGATTCTGACGGCGGGCGGTGGTTCCGGTGGCCGTCGGAGGTGCTAACGCGTTTGGAAAAATCACTCAGAGGCTGTTTACAGCCCTAGAAGGCTTGTCGGAAGGATGCACGGCAAGAAAGAGGACTCCTAAGCAGTGGGCTTAGGTTTTAAAGCAAAAAACAAGGTTTCTAAGCGGAAGCGAGGGTTCCCAGAACGAAAGAGCTCTGATACCAACTTGAATATAAAATAATATGTTGTGTATTGATCTGTGTCAGAGAGTTACAATATATAGAGACCCTAATGGGCTTAAGTGAAAGGCTCAAACCTAATCCTAATACAGTCAGAATACAGCCAGAATATTTACGGATAAGACGGAATCCAATCATATCATATCTAATATTCTAACAGAACCATTGATATAGGATTCATTTGGTTTGGATTTTAGTATAATTGATTTCAAAAGAACTGATGTTGAAAGAATTGATTTTAAAATGATTTGTTTTTCTTAAAACACTTGACCTGTGTTAGCGAATGATTATTTAAAATTTAGTTTAAACTTTGTAAAGAACCAATTCAACCCAAAAGCATAAGCTGTTGGGTGAGGATACATTAATGGTTTTTTATATATCTCAACAAACTTTAAAAGAAATCTGCTCGAAAAGAGTAAAGTGAAATGAATAAAAAAATTATGTAGAACCGCTTTTAAAAAATGGAATTACTAAAAGGACACAATAATTGCTCTCTCTTAAAATTAGATAGCTAAAAAAAAAAAGGTAATTTTATATTTAACTTTTAGTTTTACACTGCTATTAGAATTGCATTGATTGGAAGCAAAAATAACCTGCTACTGTTAAAACCAATTTGAAAGTTTAGAATGTATTTTGATCAAAGGATTAAAATTTGCAGCCAAACGTGTTTCAAAATAACAGGAATAAGTTTGAGGTGAGAATCACAATTATACTCAATGACAACCATATAATGAACAGGAACATATGGGGAAAATCATACTTCCTTAATTTAGTAAAGACAAATTCTTAATACACTTCTTCCTAAGAATCAATAAAAAACTGTGTGTATCACACAAGCACAAAATACTGGTCCAATCATTACAATGTTCAATTCAATGTTAAAACAAATATGTCTCCAATTGTCAAATGACTCAAATCCAGAACAAAAGGACCCCAAAACCTTTAGCTAATAAAGATACAAAAATAAATTTACCTTGTATCCAACATTGTTTCCAATAGTCTCTCCTCTCTCACTGGAGATTCTCTCGGAAACTAGACAGACAAACAGGGAAAAACACATTTCAATATAGAATAAAACAAGAAAATTGAGAAAATTAAGGTTGCAAAAGTTGCACACCTAAAGTCACAGAGATACGTCGAGGCTGAGTGCAAACTATTTTACAGACCTCACCCTTACCCCATACATGATCCAAAATAAATTGTGGGACCTGCATCATATTTAATCAAGGTTATCAAATCACAATTCAAACTGTGAATTACCAAGCTATTTTTGAGTTGAAAATCGTCAATGGTATCAAATTGTAAGATTCAAAGACACAATTAAAAAGCTTAAAATATGTCATATAAATTACTATAATTTTGAATGTATTTTAAATTAATTGAAAAAAAATTTAACCATAACTTTCATAAAACAAAATTATAAGTCACAAATAATTACTGAGTCACATAAAATGACTACGTGAAGCCTATGTTTTGTAAGAACGAAAATAGAGCAATGATATAACCAAATAAGGCGCATATAGAGTGAACAATTGATTGCGAAACATCTGTCTCAAAAGAATAAAAAAGAGAAATAGAATAACCAGATAGGATGCATAGAGTCAGTAAGTGATTTTGTGCATCCCTTAATTGGAGAGAATGAAAACAGGGTAATGGAATAATCAAGTAGAGTACATTCAGTAGCACTCTTCTAGAACCTTTTTATTTACAATTTAAGTTTGTTTGACTTTTCAATTTCTTTTATGAGAATTGATGAAAGCAATGCAATAAAGAAAACAATTAATGAATCGTTTAATCATGTGATTTGTATCAGTGAAACAAAATTGCACCAATTTATGCATATATAATACGATTCAAAGTCATCTTCACTTCATTACATGATACAAATCGCTCGCATGCTGAATTGTATCCAACTGCTAGGTTCAAATTGCTAATTCTAACAGCTATGTAATTAATGTTAAGTTAAAAACACAACACAGCAAGAAAGAGAAAGAAAAATGTTTCACAAAGCATGGTAAGTTTATTGAAAGATCATGGCTCACATAGTGAAGAAAGTATTCATGGGGCAAATCAAAAATCACGAAACGATTAGAACTTATTTGTGCCCTCAATCATCAACCAACAAGCCAGATATTAAAACTAATTATAACAACAAAAAAGGACAAGATTCTTAAACAATAACTCCTATTCCCAAAGCGTGGCAAGGACTGCATATTGCACAAAAATTTGGCTTCTTTCCTTCTACAGAAACCAGTAAAGCTAGTCCACAGAAACTGGATTCAACACTCCGAAAATGCCAAAGAAGTAAATAATAATAAAGAAATAGCTACAGAACAATGTAAGAACAGATGGGAACCCATTCAGAGCTCAAATCATACATCATACACATATCAGGGGAAATAGGCTTATTTGGTTTAGGCTTGGATGGGAACCAAGAGGTTGCAGGAATTGGATTGGGAGATGGTGTCGAATTGAAGGAAAACTATTAGTACTATGGAAGGATGGACTCATTTTTCTTTCTATGTTCCATACATTTCCTTTTTAGTCCATTTACCCCATATTTTTCTTCATTTATTTATTTATTCATTTTCCTCTCTAATTTATTTTTCCCTTATATTTATCTATTTTTATTTTTACTATTTTTCTCTCTCTTATCTATCTTTATTTTCACTTTATTTTTATTCTATTTTTTGTATTTGTATTTTTTATTTTACTAATTATTTTTATTTTATTTATTTATTTTCCCCTTCCTTTCATTGAATCTTTTCTTACTTTTTATTTGGGTTCATTGACTACCGACCCAACTAGTTTGGGATAAAAACGTTGTTGATGTTGACCCATGCATCTACCCACCTTTTCCTTAAAAATGAATAAAAAAGTCTTAGTTTATGCAATCAATAAAAAAAAAAAAAACTGCCTTCATAATAATATAAACATACGAGTGAAAAAGGGAATCAGGGTAAATTCATATCACAAGCATGTGTCTGAAATGGATTGAAGTTTAAACAGAGAAAATATAACAGCAAAAGGATTATTTAGAAACAGACTACATAAATATAGTCGTACTTGTACTTATATCGTGATAAAGACATAGCAAAGAATTAGTAACCTGCGTGGTCTTTCCACAACCAGTCTCACTACATACGACAACTACCTGCTTTGAAACACATTAAAAAGGATAGTAAGAGCAAAAATAATGCAACATCTAATCTCGAAATCCAACTAAATTATTATATTTAAATGGGTTTAAAACCAAAATCTTACCTAACAATGTTAGAGATATTTAATAAGTCAATGAAATATCAAATGAGCATTACAACAGTATGTTGCAACCTGCAACCAGGCTACCTAGGATATGCATGTCTAAAGGAAATTTTATAATGTCAAAGCATTGAATAAACCTGGCGAGATTCAACAGTTGATGTAATGACATCCTTGAAGGATGCAATCGGAAGCTTAGATCTCCTTGTAAAGATCTGCATGAATGGAAAGCAAATATCTCATTCATTATCATGACTGTTCAATTGCAATTTTTACACATACATAAGAAGCGGATTGATAACATTACATTATCCAACCAACAAAAATCATATATAAGGTCTCTGAAGTGTAGAATGAGAGGGGAAAAAAAAAAAACGGACCGGTTCCAAGTCACAGGGATTCCTCATTCTAGCAGCAAGGTCCTCCAATTTCTTAGTAACTTCGGCATTGCTCATATTGGGCCTGCCAAAAAAATCATCTTCCTTTTGTTCTGTTTTGTCAGTAGTGTCCCTAATTGTTCCAATCATGTCTCCCCAAAACTCTTCATCACCAGGTGGATAATGCATTGCTAAACCAACTAATAACTGCTTTGACTCTTCAGAAAAGTTGAAATGCCGAAGACTTTCTAACCTGGTAGTGGTACCAGTGGTGCCACCAGTGGTGCCATTTTTGTTTTTGATTTTGTAAACATATAATTTCTGTTTATTCCCGTGGCTACACAAAGCGTAGGTCCAATATCAAGAAAATAATATGTAAAAGTCAACACATGGTAGCAACTATTCCATTCAAGAAATGTAAATACAATTCTTACACACTCAAAAAAGTAATTTTATATGAGCTGCATTTGGCAGTTAGCGTTTACCCAGATATTCTAACTCTGAACCCCATTTTTTGGGATAATAGACGCGCTGCATCACATTCTTCAGGAGACAATTTAACTACAAATTTGTACACTGCAGACAAAATCAATATTAAGTGAAAGTATAAAATATACAATCGGCATAAGCTATACAAACTCATATAAGCTATATAATCAACCATGGAAGATTTTCAGTATCTATGAGCCCTTATGAAATAGCCAGAAAGATTCAAATTTTAACAACTAGCCAAAATGAAAACCCAATTGAAATCAAGCATCCAATCCACCATGAAGGCTCAGTAAAAGACCACTGAACCATAATGACTGTTTTTCAGAGAAAAACAAATGCAGCCCATTTAATATTTCCCCATGAAACAATAAACAAAAAATAAAATAAAAATGGGTATATTAATTTAGCCAAACCTTTGTCTTTTGATGCTAAAAAGTTTTCTAATGTTTGCGAAATTTGTATCCTTGTCGATTCATTGATAATGGGATTTTGATGCTGAGGTGGCTCTAGCTCCTCTTTATTCTGCATTTTCGTCGACATGCCAACATGAATAAAAACGAAGTGAACTTAGAGTCTCTTGCACAATGAAATAGGTATATACAAGAATACTCAAAAGACTGGAAGCCAAAACAGAAGACTCCCACCACCAGATTTGACCCTTCAGAAAACGTGATATGAGGACGACTATCCAACACCGTAGTGGTGTCAACTTCCTTTTTGATTTTCTGAACAGATGTTTTAAATTTAATGCCACGCCTACACAAAATGCAGGTTCATTGTCAAGGAAAACAAAATGTAACAATGGAAAAAACAAATACATTAGCAACAACTCCATTCTACGCACGAGATTATAATTCTTACAGATTTAAAAGGGAAATTTAATATGTGCTGCACTTAGCACTCACCCAGAAAATGTACAACTCAAGCCCATTTTTTGGGCTAACTGCTGCACTATAGCAAGTTCTTTAGTTGACAGTTCATCTTCAAAATTGTACACTGCAGTAAAAATCCAGATCATAAAAGGATATTTGCACAAGCTGCATAAGCTATACAGTACAAACTAATAACAGCAAAATAATCGTTAAAGTATCTCCTTTTTAAAGAAAATATATCCTACCTAGGGGTTGTATATTGGACTGTGTACTTTCAGTAAGTCATTAGGATTTGACTTGTATTGTTTTCCTGATTTTCTAGTGTCCTTATGATAGGGCTCAACTTCACAAGGCCCAATATGGTAAATTTATATTAGGGACCGTAATAGGGGTAAAGTGGCCCAAGAGGGATGTTAGTGCTGCTGTGTCACAGACCATTGAGCAGGCTGAGTCAGATTGTTTGCTAGACAAGTTTGTTACTCATGCTATGCCTGAAGGTGATATAGGAGGGACGTGAATGTGGGAAAAGGCACCGTGGAGGTCACTTTTATTGCTGAGGCAAATATGGGAGATTCCAGGGTGTCTCGAAGGACCCTGTGGTTGCTTTAGATTACTTTTAATTTTCTTTATTTTCTTCTGCTAATTCTAAGCTATAGCAGCACTATGGTGGTGTAATCAGATTTGTTTCTTGTTGAATTTTGTTGATTTTACTGGAATTGAGATAATATAGAAGTAATATTCAAAATTGTGTTGTTTACTGTTTATTTCCTATCAAATTGGTATCAAAGCTCCGACTGGGAGCCGGGTTATGGTGCGAACGAGAACCATGGAAGGCTTCGAAGAAAGGTTGCGCCAAACAGAGTTGGGACAAGAGGAGTTGATCAAACGAATTGAAGCAAGTGATATTAATCAAGAAGAAATCATTAGGCAGTTCAGGGAGCTTGGGGTTGGAATCCAAGAGCTCCGACCTGAAGGATTTAGGGATGAACGAAATTTTGGGGGAAGAAGGAGAAGTGATTCCTCTGGTTCGAATGAAAATCTCAGAAGGGTGAGCTATGGAGAGCTAAGGTGCAAGAAGCTTGAGATTCCCACGTTCTCCGGGCAAAACGCGTACGCTTGGTTAAGCAAGGTAGAGAGGAACTTCCAAGTGAATGAGATTGGGGATGAGGAAAAAGTAGCTGCTATAATGCTCGATCTGGAGGGTGAGGCTCTAACGCGGTACCAATGCTGGGAGCTCAACAATGTCACCATCACGTGAACAGTACCCGATGAACAGTACCGCGTGAACAGTACCCGATGAACAGTATCGCGAGAACAATGCGCGATGAATAGTACCGCTTTTTTTTTTTGAGATGTTGTGGTCGTCTGATGAAAAGGAAACCCCCGTAGAATGATAGATCTGAGAAAATGGAGTGAAACAGGGGTCCTCACGGTCCAAAAGGTCCCCGGAAATTTTTTCCGGCGGCGGCTTTGTTGCGGCGAGAGGCAAATAGGGTTTGATTTTTTTAAAAGCGGTGATTTGCGGAAGCAGAGCCCTCAGAATCGAGAGCTCTGATACCAACTAGAAAAGAAGATTTGTATATTATTGGATTATATCATATTTGTACAAGAGTTCTCTATTTAAAGAGATTAAAAAACCTAATGGGCTAAGCCCAAATACACTGATAGAGTATTCTAGAGTATTTTATTACAAAATAATAATAAAATAATTCTATTATTTACAATACTTAGATCTATCATTCTACGGAGGTTTTTTTTTCATCAGACGACCGGAACAGCTCAAAAAAAAAAAGTGGTACTGTTCATCGCGCACTGTTCACGCGATACTGTTCATCGGGTACTGTTCACCAAAAAAAAAAAATTCCTGCTTGGTTTTGTATCTGATCTGACGTCGTTTGGGTGTAAATTGTGTGTTTTTGGTGCTGTTTTTCACTCTCTTATCACTATGGCCAATTTAGAAGATGGTTCGATTATTACGCAATCTCCACATGTCTCTCCGTATGTGAATATTCAGCAAAGGGAGTTAGATCAGCTTAAACCCGCTATTGATAATATGTGTAAGCCATCTGACCGTTCTTTGATCTTGTCTAGTAAGAACACACGTTCTACATCTCTTCTTGCTTCTTGCACTGATTTTAAAACCTCAAGGATTTTGGATTCTGGTGCAACTGATTATATGACTTGTCGTACTGAGTTTTTTCTTTCTTATCATCCTATTGTTGGTAGTCATACTATATCCGTAGCTGATGGATCCCATAAATCAGTTATTGGTTCTAGTAACATTCAAATTCAACCTTCCTTGTTTCTTAAAAATGTTCTTTATGTTCCTCAGCTTTCTACTAATCTTATCTCCACTCAAAAACTTACAACTGATTTGAATTGTTCTATCACATTTTTCCCTTCTCATTGTGTTATTCAGGATCTTACCACGAAGAAGACAATTGGAGTTGCTAATGAGCAGGATGGGTTGTATTATCTCCTTCCAGAACATGCTATAAATGATAGCAAAAACCAGTTATTAATGACACGTCATCCTTCTACTGCAGAGTCTATGATTTGGCTCCATCACAAGCGTCTGGGGCATCCACCATTCAGTCTGTTGAAGTCAATGTTTCCTTCTTTGTTTCTAAATCAGTCAGTTGAGACCTTCCATTGCGATGTTTGTGAATTCGCAAAACACCATCGAGTGTCATTTCCTTCTAGCACTATCAAAAGCAGCGAACCTTTTTCTCTTATCCATTCTGATGTTTGGGGCCCTTCTAAAGTGCATAGTGTTTCAGGTGCAAGGTGGTTTGTTTCTTTTATTGACGATTGTACTCGGGTAACATGGATATTCTTGATGAAAGACAAGTCTGAAGTACCAGAGATATTTATTCGATTTCATCACATGGTTGAGACTCAGATTGGTAAGTTTATTAAAAGACTAAGATCTGATAATGGTACTGAGTACGTCAACCAACGCCTGTAGCAATTCATTTCAGACAGAGGTATGATTCATGAGCTCACATGTGTTGATACCCCTCAACAAAACAGGGTTGCTGAAAGAAAAAAATCGTCACCTCCTTGAAGTTGCTAGAGCACTACTTTTCCAGACATTTGTTCCTAGTTCTTATTGGGGAGAAGCCGTGTTAGCTGCAGCCTTTTTGATCAACCGCTTACCTTCACGGGTCCTTAACAATACCCGTCCTATTCATTCCATGATTTCTTTCTTTCATTTTGTTCCCATTTTGCAGAGCCTTCCACCAAGAGTGTTTGGATGTGTTGCCTTTGTCCATGTTCATAAACAACTTCGCAGTAAGTTGGATCATAAGGCTCTTAAGTGTGTCTACCTTGGTTATGCCCCTGATAAAAAAGGGTACAAGTTTTATCATCCACCAAGTCGAAAAAATTTTGTTTCTATGGATGTCACTTTTCAAGAATCTAAATCTTATTTCCTGGGTCTTCATCTTCAGGGGGAGAACAGTTCTTCAGAAGACTCATCCCCTTCCTTCTTTGAGTTTGGATCGTCCTTGTCTACTCCTACACCTCTTCCTAGTGTGTCTGCTCCTGGTGTGTCAGAACCTTCAAATACACCTGAGATACGAAAGATTTTGACACCTGAATTGGTATATCAGAGGAGGAAACAACCCATACTGTCTCACCAGCAACCTCAATTGTCTGAACCACTGGTAAGTCCTGAATCTCCTACTTCTGATTCTAATATTATTGTCTCTCATGATTTGGCTATTTCTTCTGATACCTCTGATGACTTACCCATTGCTTCTGCTTCTGATAACTTACCTATTGCCCTAAGAAAAGGGAAAAGATCTTGTACTCAATACCCTATCTCCCATTTTGTTTCTTCTACTAATCTTTCTGTGCAGCACAAAAGCTTTGTTTCAGCACTAGATTCTATTTCAATCCCAAAATCAGTACATGAAGCATTGAAAGATGAGAATTGGGCTCAAACCATGCAAGAGGAGATGAATGCGTTGGAGAAAAATAAAACATGAGAGTTTATTGATAGACCCAATGGAAAGAAAGCAGTAGGGTGCAGATGGGTTTATGCCCTAAAGTATAATTCTGATGGCACTCTTGAGAGATATAAGGCTCGGTTAGTCGCCAAGGGTTACACTCAAACATATGGCATTGATTATGAAGAAACCTTTGCTACAGTTGCAAAGATGAATACGGTGAGAGTCTTGTTATCCCTTGCTGCCCATTACAATTGGGATATAAATTAATTTGATGTGAAGAATGTTTTCCTTAATGGTGAGTTAGAAGAAGAAGTCTACATGGAAATCCCGCCTGGTTTTGATTCTGTGGACGGAGAAAATAAAGTTTGTAGATTAAGAAAAGCCTTGTATGGATTGAAGCAGTCACCTCGTGCCTGGTTTGGGAGGTTTACTAAGGTTATGATGACCTTAGGATACAAACAGAGTCAAGGAGATCACACTCTTTTCTTTAAGCACTCCCAAGATGGGAAGCTCACTGTGCTCCTTGTATATGTTGATGATATTATTATAACAGATGATGATTTTGTGGAGAGACATATTCTGCAAACACGACTAGCCTCTGAGTTTGAAGTTAAAGACCTTGGGAAACTGAGATATTTCCTAGGGATAGAGGTAGCTCATTCAAACATAGGAATTTTTATCAGTCAGAGGAAATATGTTCTTGATCTTCTCAAAGAAGCAGGAAAGCTCTCGAATACTCCTATTGAGCAGAATCACAAGATAGGTTATGAAGAGGAGAGTCCTCCAGTTGATAAAGGACAATATCAACAGCTAGTTGGGAAACTGATATATCTGGCTCATACTAGACCAGACCTAGCTTATGTTGTTAGTGTTGTCAGTCAGTTTATGCACGATCCAAAGGAGAAACACATGCAAGCAGTGGAAAAAATTCTTCAGTATCTTAAAGCCACTCCTGGTAAAGAACTATTATTCCGGCGTGATGGCAATCTCTCTTTAGAAGTTTACACTGATGCTGATTATGCTGGATCTATGGCTGACCGTCGTTCTACCACTGGTTATTGTATGTTTCTTTGTGGTAACTTGGTGACGTGGAGAAGTAAGAAACAAGATGTAGTTGTCAGATCAAGTGCAGAGGCTGAATTTCGAGCAATGGCTCAAGGCATTTGTG